GGGTCATGAGACGAAGAAGCCTATTGATTTTCAACGATTTCCGATAATTACTGCCAGAGTTATGGCCCTTGATCACTTCAAAAAATCTTGTGGACGCTCTAAAGGCCAAAGTTAATATCCAATTGACTTTAAATTTATACACAGTGTTTAAGGTCATGAGACAAAGAAGCCTATTGATTTTCAGTCAAATTGATCCACTCTGAACCAAGAATTTAGCAATTGAATTTTAGGCCTTGCCTCGATCATCATTACTAAAGTTGGTACGATAAAAAACATAGTCTCGATTATCCATTTTTATACGTCCACATTATGTATATTGCTGTCGCCCCTGTCTGTGTGTGAGTGTGTGTGTGTGTGTGAGCGTGTATGTGGGTCGCCTACAGGCCGCAATTCTTAAGTGATCATCTTGAAACTTTACATACTCATTCGTTATACCCAAAGGATGATCCCTATTGTTTTTGGTGCATGCCCAACCCCAAGGGGCCAAGCCTTGCCCATTTCTTGTATTTGTTTGTTTGTCATCTACAGGTCGCATGTCTTGGCTTATCATCTTGAAACTTTGTATATTTATTCCTTTTACCCTAAGGAACATCCCTATTGTTTTTGGTGCATGCCCAACTCCCAGGGGCAGAACCACACCCATTTTCTTTTTTTTGTGTGTGTTGCTTATAGGCCACAATTCTTAATCAATCGTTTTGAAAAATTTTCATATTTATTTCTTATACCCTAAGGATGACCAAATTTGTATGTGTCTTGTGTTTTGCCTACAGGCAGCAATTCTTAACAGATCCTTTAGAAACTTTCCATACCTATTTCTTATACCCTAAGGATGACCCCTATTGTTTTTTGGTGATTGTCCCACCCCTAGGGATAGAGCCACACCCATTTTTTTGTATTTATCGTCTGCAGGCTGCAATTCTGAATGGATCATCTTGGAACTTTGCATATTTATTCCTTATACCGTAAAGACAGCAACTATTTATTTTGGTGAATGCCCGATCCCCTGGGGCAGTGTCACACCCACTTTTTTGCCTTCTTTGCTTCTTGTCATATTACAGGCATTTCATATTTCATTCTCTTCATTTTAAAAAGTACCATATCAATCAAAGCAGGAATGTGGACGTATATTGCAGCGTTAGCGATGCTCTCGTTTGATTTATATGGAAGACCAAATGGGACAATATTCATGATTCTTGTTTCTACATTCCAGTTTGAACATTTTAGACATGAACGCAACATTCTAAACTAATGATTCTTGTTTCTACCTTCTTATGTCAACATTTCATGCACAAAATCAACATTTTAAACAAAAAATTGACTTTATGTTTCATTTTCGGCGTTTTATCGGTAACTTTTATATATCATTAAATATTAAAATTAAAAAATAATTTCTTAATTTCTCAACTCATTGGTTTCTGAAAGTATCTAAAAAAAAAGTCTTGAAGTTAAAATCTTGAAATGAAAATGTCCAGAAAAATATAATGAATAACTATAACTATAGGATAGTGTTTGCAAATTAGACCTACGCGTGTTTCGAATGTGGCAAAAATGAATGATAAATCTATAGTTTGTATCAAAGTTGTACACATACGCTAACGCCCTCTGGTGTAATAATGTTGATAATTCATTATATTTTTCTGGACATTTTCATTTCAAGATTTTAACTTCAAGAAATAACAGTGAATAGATTCCATTCAAAACACAGCATTATCATCCATTTTTGCCATATTCGAAACACGTGTAGGTCTAATTTGTAAACATATGAAAAAGTAAACAAATAACAGCGAATATGTAAGAAAGGCCTTTGTCCTAATTGTTCTAGCTGTTTAAATTATAGAAGTTATTTGTATTGTTATTATATCTCGAGCTTAATTTCTGTTTCATGCAACTAATTACTGTAAACACAACAGGGGCCCACTTCCACTCATGGAAAAGTCTACTTTTGATTTCTAATCTATAGTCTGTATCAAAGTTGTACAAATACGCTAACGCCCTCTGGTGTAATAATGTTGATAATTCATTATATTTTTCTGGACATTTTCATTTCAAGATTTTAACTTCAAGACTTTTTGAAACGTAGAAAATATTTTCATAAGAGTTTAAATTCCAGATTTTTTTTTAGATACTTTCAAAATCCAATGAATTGATTTCTTTGTCATGTAAAATTAGGAAATTATTTTTTAATTTTAATATTTAATGATACATAAAAGTTACCGATAAAACGCCGAAAATGAAACATAAAGTCAATTTTTTGTTTAAAATGTTGATTTTGTGCATGAAATGTTGACATAAGAATGTAGAAACAAGAATCATTAGTTTAGAATGTTGCGTTCGTGTCTAAAATGTTCAAACTGGAATGTAGAAACAAGAATCATGAATATTGTCCCATTTGGTCTTCCATAGATTTAATCATCAATGAGCATTGAGTAGCAGATCGGATTCCAATCCAATAAATATCGTAGGCCATCGAGAGTTGATTATGGTCTGGATAAGTTAATTAATGTCTAATTAATAATTTAGATAACATTTAAGGCCTAAAGAAAGAACTGTAATAGGCAGATTTAGCTCTTGCATAATGCATGTTTAACTTACTCTACTGTAATAGTGAGATGAGAATTATTCAAATCAGACTTTAGAAAGCACATAAAATGTACATTACATTGTGTTCATTTTATTATAAACTGGTAACAAATCACTCTATTTGTTTATAAACCTGACAAGAAATATGGCAAATTGTGTAATCGGATGCAAGCAAAGGAATTAATAAAGATTAAGTTACAGTTTCCATTGCTACATCTTTTGTTTTTTGCCTCATATAACAAATTTAGTGAAATATATTGAGGAACAATTGTTACAAGATATATGAAATAGAAAATAAAAAAATCTGAAATTTTTATTTTGGGGTTTCTTTGAATTAATCATGATATTGTTTTGCTTTGTTTTGTTATTGAAGATAAGCAATTAGAGATACTCAATCAATACTCATCTAAATGGTTTTTCATGTTTCTCAAGGCGAAGGTCATCTCAGTGCAGTTTGTCATCGTCATTTTCATACCTTATATGATAAATTCCTGTGTGGTCCATGCAAGGCTAACAAGGCAAAATTAATGTGTTTAGTCATTTGGATGCCACAAAAACAAGATCCACCTGTGTACACATTGGCATGCACGTCTAACAAGGCAAATGTATTTAGTCATTTGGATGGCACAAAAAACAAGATCACCTGTGTACACATTGGTATGCAGGAAAAAGAAACCCTGGCAGTTGAGAATGGAAGAGGTGTAGATGCAAATGCTTGCGTTGAGGGTAAAATTCCTCCATTTGTTGCACACTTATCCATTGAAATAAAATTAACATATGACCAAAGTATTGTGTCGATGGGATGATTAACCATATTCCATTTGAGTTCTTTCTTTTCCCCTCTTTGTCCCCCACCTTTCCACAATAGCAGGGGACTATTAAAATGGGTATGTCGTTTGTCTGTCTGTCTGTCCGTCCGTCCGTCTGTCACACTTTTTGGGACACAATAACTCTCCTAATTGAGCTAAAATGTTCAAACGTAGTGTAGGTGTTTATTAGGCGATTGACTTGAAGGAGTTCGAAGATGAGCATTTTCTGCGTAGGGTAAGCAGAGAGAAGCGATTTGATTGGTTGAGCCTTTGAACACAATAACTCTCCTTCTATTGTTGTAGAATGTTCAAACTTGGTGTAGGCGTTCATGAGGTGAATGCCTTGATCAGGTGTGAAGATGAGCATTTTCTGCTTAATGTAATTTGATTGGTTAATGCTTTGGGACACGATAACTTTGGTTCTATTTATGTGAGAGTGATGAAACTTTGTGTATAGTTTCATTACATCAACACCTTGACTAAATTCCCTGAGCAGAAAATGTTCATTATCGAAGTCAGTCAAAGTATTGATATAATGAAACTATATGCCTTAATTAGTCGGGATGGTGGATGGCCGAATGGTTAGTGCGTGTGCGTTGTATCGTAAGGTCTGTCATTGAGTGCGTGGTTTTAATTCCCCGCTTGTACATGACAAGGAGTAGGGTCACCTGTCCAACCTCGTGGGTTTTCTCTGGTTTCCTCCCACTGCTAAAGACCCCTACATGCAAGCGAATTATTGAAATAAAATTGAACCATATGTTAGTCCCGAAATTAGATAGGTTGTGTCAAGTAGACATTAAACCCAAATTCTCTCTCTCTCTCTCTCTCTCCCTCTCTCTCTTTCTCTCTCTCTCATAAATACAGGGTAAGATTCTAGTGTAGGAGTTTAAGGGGGGGGCACAGTGGCTCGGTGAATAAGATGTTGGCCTGCTAACTTGGATGTCCCGTGTTCGATTCCAGTATATTGTCTGAGAAAGTTCATCTGGATTTTCTGGCATGGTTCCCACTTGTCAGTGGTGTAGGATGGAGTGCCTGGCAAAGGACAACGTACAGTATTTGCATTGGCATTCACGTAAAATAACCCTTGACATAGCACTGCTGTTCAGACAAAATTTCCCTCATAGCACACTCATAGTAATAAAAGACAGTAGGACGTTAAACCTCATTTCATTTCTTTCCAAAAGATGTCCTTATATGCACAAGCACTTGAAGGGATTAAAATTAATATTGACTATAAAATAGGAACAAAGTATATCATCCGCCATATTATTTTGGCTTTTTGATGACAATTCTTTTGTGATCATCCCACACTACTTGCTACTTTCAACATTTTTAATCGTTTTTATTGACAAGAGTTGATTTGATCCTTATAAACCTTCCAATATAACTAAATTGGTAATTTTACAGTGTTATCATGGCTTCTATTGAAATTTACTTTTCTAAAATTGTTTTAACTACATCTTTGTGCGAAATTTATTGGTGTTGGTTGCAGGGCATGGGTCCTTCTACCTCTCTCCCAACTCACTTGTACATTCAAAGTTTGGGATTAGAATATATTTTTTGTGCACAGGGTAGGCATTTTTTAATTTGTTATTTTTATTTTTTTTTCAGAAAATGTTGAAGCTATTAGACGCTGTATAACTGCTGGATTTTTTGCTAATGCTGCTAAGTTACATTATACTGGTGAATATCGAACAGTTCGCGATGATCAAACTTTACATATTCATCCAACGTCTGTACTCTTCCCAGAAATTCCTCCAAAATGGTAAACATACAATTTTATACATTTGATTTTAAACAATGTGCTGATGGCGATAATGTTCCATCTGAGTCAACAGACCAATTTTGGATGAGATCCTTCCGTGTTTCACAGTTTGAAGTTGGCTAATTAAATATACACGGAAATTACTAGTAAAATGTCTATTTATTTCAAGTTATCAAATCAATAAAATAGAAGTTCAGTTATTACGTTTTAAATACTTGACCAATGGGATTGCAGTCAGCTGGTTAAATACCGTATGTGCAAATGAATGGGTAAAAAACCAAACTGTGAAAATAAACTAAACTATGTCAATTATTCTAGTTGTCTGAAGCTAAATGCAAATTCCAGATAAAGAAAACCAATTGTATTGGATATGAAAGATATTGAACCATGATATTTTAGACAATAGCATATATTTTTTTATACACCCGCATTGAAATTTATTGTGAACACTTTATATTCTGCATTTATCATCTGATTGTTTTGAAATTATATATGTTGTTTACATTATTGAGATGAAGAAACCTATTTAATTTCAATAATTTCCATTAATTTCCTTTGGAGTTATGGTCCTTGTTCTATTTTGTTGAACTTTGTGAATGTTTGAATGATAAAAGTTATCATCCGATCTGTATGAAATTTATATGCATTATTTAAATTAGTAAAATGAAAAAGCCTGTCAAATTTTAACGATTTCTGTAAATTATTTACAGAGTTAAGGCTCTTGTTTCAGTTGTAAACCCTCAAATGACAAAAATTATAATCTGATCTGTATGAAATTGTCTTGTAAATTACCTACGAAAGATTAAATATGCGACAACCCTTGTGGACTGCTCAGACGGTTTAGCCGCTTTGGGCGTATATTTTGTTACCTGGCAACGTATCTTTATTCCATGATGCATGATTCTAAATTCTATATTGAAGAATATATTTTTTTATCTATAAAAAAAGAAAAAAGAAAATTGCTTTATTTTCAATTTTGTCACAATGTTATTTAGTTTCAAAACATCTACAGGTAGAAATTGAGAAGTACAAATATAAAATCATACGTTTGTTCTTATCCAGTTTTCCTACTTGATTTTGAAGTCAACTGACTTGGGGAGTTAGGGAGGTAATCTTTTTAAGATCAAAATATAGTGCGGAATTGAGAAGATCTGTATTGGGGAGTTAGGGAGGTAATCTTTTTAAGATCAAAATATAGTGCGGAATTGAGAAGATCTGTATTGGTATTTCGTTTAATGGTGGAGCAAGATCTATTCCAACTAAAGTCTAAAAATCTTTCACATGTAGTACCGGCCGGTATATGTGGGTAAAAGGCTGGTTCGCTAGCCTGGAGGTCGGGTGTTCGATCCCTGCATTGGCCGAGAAAGTTCATCCAGATTTTCTGGCGTGGTTTCCCCTTGTCAGTGATGCAGTACAGAGGGCCAGACAAGGACAGCTGTCTAGTCGTTCGGATGGGATGAAAAATCGAGGTCCCGTGTACACATTGACATGCACGTAAAAGATCCCTTGGCAGTTGGAATCCAATATACGAGTAGGCCGTGGCGCCGCTGCCGGGCAAAATTTCTCCCATAGCACACTGTATGGCATATGCCCGTCTTCATTAGCCCAGTTTAGGAGCAGAACAGTAGGACGTTAAGCCCCATTTCATTTCATTTCCGGTATATGTGAAGTATCATTGCGATTTGCAAAAGATATTAGAATGGTTGATGATTACCACATGATGTTGACATTGAAATTGACAAACAAAAGCATCATATTACTGAGTGAAATGTTACTTTGTTTTATTACATAGATGAATACTCCTAGTTGTAAAAGATAATTCCTTCAGAAGGCTCAGGTGTCCAGACTTGTTTTTCTTTGACTGTGTCATTTTAACTGTGATTAAACACCTGTTTAAGATATTTGTTGGCCTACTATAAAAGATGAAGATTTATCATAGGCTTGGATTTCATAAATTTGTGAAGCGACCAGATTTGCCACAATACAATACAAGAGATTAAAATAAAACTTCTTACTACTGCTTGACTATATATTACAGTATATAGAAGGTTTCTCACCCGCCATGTTGTTTTCACATGTTCAAGACATTTCGTCTGCTATCATCTCACAATCATAAGGTCTGTCATTGAGTCAAGTGGGGTGGTTTCGATTGCCCGCTTGTACGTGACAAGGAGAAGGATCGCCTGTCCAACCACGTGGGTTTTCTCTGGGTCCTCTGGTTTCCTCCCACTGCTAAAGACGCCTACGTGCAAGCGTATTATTGAAATAATATTGAACCATATGTTAGTCCCGAAATTACCTAGTTTGTGTCGAGTGGACGTAACCCAAGCTCTCTCTTTCTCTCAACAATCGGAAGCCAGGAGATTATCTACGGTTGATATTTTCTTTTTTTTTATAATAAAATGTTAAATAATTAATTTATACGTGGATAGCTGCGCTTACGACTACTCTTATTTTGAATTCCAACATTCATGGGTTCTTTTATGTGCATGCCAAAATGTACATAGGACCTTGTTTTTTTTGTCCTGTCAGAACGGCTAGACAGTTCTTGCCAAGCCCTCCGTCACATACCACTGACAGATTTTGTTGGGTGAACACAAGAATGAACCAAGTACCTTCTGGTTAGCAAGCCAGTAACACGTCTCCCCATTTAATTTTAAATAGGACTATGCTCACATATATACCTGAAAGTAAAATAGAATCCTATGTATAATCTTGGTTTTTTTTTCAGGGTGGTATTTAATGAAGTTGTACAGACATCTAAATATTTTATGCGTGATGTGACAGTTATTAAACCAGAATGGTTGTGTGAATTAGCACCACACTTTTATCAGTTTGGAACAGTTAGTGTTTATATTCTTCATTCGTTATTCACAATTTCACAAGTTACGATATATATACAAATTACAATATATATATATGAAATGCATGACGAATGAATATGTGCCTGTATATAATCATACTAATATTGTATTTTATTATTTAAATGACAATACCCAATAAATGACATATGTGATAGAATTGGTTTCGAATTGGTGGTAAGTTGGGACCTGTTCCTACCTTTAAGTCTCATAAAATAACTCTTTGCCTTGAAAAGAATTATCATTGAGCTCAAGATCATTGGTGTAACTGTTGCCATGCTCAACTTATTTTTGCTTCACTTCTAGAATTTTCCTGGATCAACCATAGTATATTTAGATTGTAATTATGTAAAATCTAGACTTAAACCAGAGATCTTCTAGTGAGTGAACCAGCACCTTGAAAATTCATCTTTATAATTACAAGAATATTACATATTTTATTTTACATGACATATGCCCGTGAATTTTCTCTTCTTCAGCATAATTCAATTTAATTTTTTTTTTATTATTTTTTTTTTTTTTTTTTTAGGAAAAAGAATTGGCAGCTAAAAGATTTAAGCCTGGATAAAGTAGACAGTTTATATATAAAGTTCAAATTAATTTAGAAAAAAGGTGGTACAATGTCAATGGAAATGAAATGAAATGGGGTTTAACGTCCTACTGTTCTGATCCAACTGGGTTAATGAAGATGGTGATGTCAATGGATGATGTAAACTGCAATTTTTGTGAACATATATAATCTTTAAAACTTGGCATTAGTAAACATGCATTATGCAAGAGCTAAATCTGCCTATTGCAGGTCTTTCTTAAGGCCTGAAATGTTTTCTAAAGTATTAATTAGACATTAATTAACTGATCCAGGTCTTAATCAACTCTCGATGCTCGATGGCATTAGATTTCTCCGATATTAAATAGATTAAAATGGTTCAGCGATACTTTGATTTAATCAAATATGGAGGACCGAGACTTAGCTTCGATCAACCAGTACGGTGGTTGAAATTATTGCACACGTCTGTCAAACCTTCAAAGGCTAATATCTTCGCTTGCAAAAGAGTAATTTGAATGAAATTTTCAAATTATTCATTTTACATCATCTACATTCGAACTATTATAGCAAGAATGGCTAGTTCTTTATCTAAATCTTACATAATGTATCTTTAACCAAAATATTTGATGATATTGTTTATATTCCAGTTATTGTAACCTTGGGAATGCATTTTATTAATCAAGAAACATATTTTTCAATAGCCATTTTATTAATGACAGTGGTGAACAAACTTCTATGATTCGATTCGTAAGATGAGAAGATATAATATAACCATGCCTATTGACCCAAAAAACTATCAGAACCCTAAGAAATATATCTCCGAAAGTGGTAGTGCTATGCCACCAGGCCTCCATATCACTTCCCCACTAGAACTGCCGTTATACCCCAAATTTCAGCCTTGGGACAGCCTTAGTGTAGCCGTCAAGTGTGAACAAAAGGAAAACGATAGTCACAAATAGATATTGAGTTGCTGTGTTATGAAATATTTCTGGTTGACTTGACAAATAAAAGACCAGTATTCAGCAGAGAGCGGAAATCATCTTTTGGATAAAATATGAAAAATTGCTACAAATGTTACTATGTATCAGTGAATTAGTAGTTTTTTGAGAGAATGCATTTTCCGACATAATTACATGTATTTGTATTAATGTTATCTAAATGTACTGTATTGTATTAATGTTATCTTAATGTACTGGACCTTGATACAGTATTTATATACATGTGTATCAATCTGTTGTCAAATGGTATCATATGTTCTGAAGAGAGTAAGGGGGTTTGGGTGGCTGAATGGTCTAAGGCATGTACTTAAGGTCATAAAGCCTGTCTTTGAGTCAGGTGGAGTGGTTTTGATTCCCAACTTGTATGTTACAAGGAATATTGTCGCCTGTCCAACCTCATGGGTTTTCTCTGAGTCCCCACCCCCCACTTCTGAAAACATGTACACACTAGCGATTTGTTGAAATAAAATTGGACCATATGCTAGTCCTGAAATGAAGTTTAAACCCCTCTTATCTCTGTAATAAGATTAAGCATACACTGCATCATGTAAATAAGATTAAGCATACACTGCATCATGTATGAGACCTATTAACTATGAGGCTGCAACTAGCCAGGGTTTAATGTATTAAATTATGTCTGAAAATTCTCAGTAAATGACAAATATTTGGTTAGGACTATAAATCTATATATCTAAGCAAAGGTTTGGACATTTCAAACTAGGACTTTTTATACGTCCACATTTTTATGTGGACGTATATTTTCGTCGCCCCTGTCCGTCCGTCCACAATTTGTTTGTGAACACTCTACAGATCACAATTTTTATCCGATTAGCATGTATCAGATTAAAACTTCATGGATTATAGCCCCTGATTATACCAAAAATCACGTTTTTAGCTTATGGCCAATCTAGAGGTCACAATTTTGATCCGATCTTAATAAAACTTGAAAGGTAACAATTTTTATCCGATTTAAAAAAAACGTTGGAATATATCACTGTTTACACCCCAATGATGGTTGACTTCGAATTTCGTGAAAAAGCGGACCAAAACTGCCAGAAAAAATGGCCGCCCTTTGTAAGCAAATCATGTAAATATTTGGTATATGTGAAAATTGGACCAAAACTGCTGGACAAAATGGCCGCCCCTCGTATGCAAATAGTGTAAATATATGGTATATCATGGTTGTGGACCCTCTAGAGTACACAATTTTAATCCGATTTTGACGAAACTTTAAATTTATTTTTATATCAAATATCTCAGTCCATTTCTATATTCGCGCATTTCAGACCATAATTTTCTGGGATATGGCCCCTGATTGTACGAAAAATCGCTTTTTTTTTAAGCTTATTCTCTATCCATCTCTTGCAAAATGATTGCGTATCTTGCCTGGCAACCGCTGGTTATTATATTTTGGTGACATTATGTTCTGTGAATTTTGTAAATGTCATATCAGACTGTGTGGAAATCAGTTAATATTTTGTGTAGGAAGATTCCTGGTAAATCCATTTCTATTGTTTGATAAACAAGATATTCTTTTCTCTATATGAAACTGGAATAAATGTTATTTTTCTGTTGATGTTTCATTTTTTAAAAATATAGATAGCCTTATAGAATGCCAGTTCCCAGCTGCAGGGACTGAAATCTAATTTACTTTATATTAAAATCACATCAACGTTTTTAATTTTGTGCTCTACTAACACATTTGACAATACATACGTTTTGAAAATCGCTGACAAGGTTTTTCCCATGTGCCAATACTATATCATGGTGCGTAGGTTTACAAAATCGTCTATCTGATTGTTTTATGGGTATATTTCTGTCTGCGGGTCAGCCGCAGCAGTGTTTTGATCTCGATTTTACAGGGTATTAATCAATCCATGGTTTAACAAGATGCCAAAACTAATAGTGTATCAAATCTCCGAAAATATTTTTTAAGTGCTCAGAAATCAAGTCTAAGGGAGTCAATTTTCAAAATTTTCAGGGGGAGGGCACGGGCCTTCACCTTCGGTGTTCGCGGGCCTCGCACCTACTGTGCTTGAGGGCACGACCAAATCCTTAGACGAGGCTCTGATTTACTGTCCATCAGTTCGCTAATTTTTTACAGCTTGGCCTAAACTAATATGTACTCAAATTGATTATTAGTGATTTTATTAAGAAAACAAAACTAGATAACATCCTGACTGGGATTTAATCAGATTGAGGCCAGTTAAAAGATTTTATCCAAATGTTTAGAAATTTGCTATTGTTCATATCTTTGTAAATACTGAAAGGAATGGATCCATTTTCCACTGGTATTCACGAGATTCAACTTTCACAATGAAGCAGTTTCCACGAGATTCAAAATCCCTCAAATGACAATCAGCAGTTTACAAAAGCTGTCTACGAACTGAAGTCTACACAGGATAGGTAGGAACTACTTTAAGTCAACTTTTGTTAGGGAGATCGTATTCGTGTACTTGAAGGGAGACAACTACAAAATTGTGTGGATCCCCTTTTCATTCTGTGAAAAATGAACATTTTAGTTTTGTAATTAAAAACTAGAAATCAATATACATTTAAATCACTGCCATCCAATAGTTTAGAGAGTTGATTATAAGCTAGTCATGTGAATAAATGTCTAAATAATAGTTTAAATACCATTTGAACTATATATTGAAGCAAAAAAAAGACCTGCGATAGTAAGATTTAGCTCTTGCACAGATTTAATCAGATTTAACAAGCCAACAGTGAGGCTGATGTCCCCCGCCGAAATAGGAAAATAATTAGAGGACACATATAAATTTATCACAAATTATCTTTTACAAAGTATTGAACAATCAAACAGTATATCTTTACTTATAGTCTAACAATCAAAGTAGGAGAGTTTTTGTTTTCCAAAGTCTCGACCAATCAAATTGCGTATCGCTCTGCTTACCCTGAGCAGAAAATGCTCATTATCAAACTTAGTCAAGGTATTACTGTAATGAAACTATACACCAAGTTTCATCAATCTCACTTAATTAGAACTAAAGTAATCGTGTCCCAAAGCATCAACCAATCAAATTGCTTATCTCTGCTTACCCTAAGCGGAAAATGCTCATCTTCGAACTCCATCAAGGCATTGACCTAATCAACACATACACCAAGTTTGAACATTCTAGCTCAATTAGGAAGAGAGTTATCGTGCCCCAAAGTATCAACCAATCAAATTGCTTATCTCTGCTTACCCTAAGTGGAAAATGCTCATCTTCGAACTCCATCAAGGCATTGACCTAATAAACACATACACCAAGTTTGAACATTCTAGCTCAATTAGGAAGAGAGTTATTGTGTCCCAAAAAGTGTGACGGACAGACAGACAGACAGACGGACAGACAGACGGACGGACAGACAGACAGACGGACGAACCCATTTTAATAGTCCCCTGCTTTCTTCGAAAGGCGGGGGACAAAAATGAAATGAAATGGGGTTTAACTTCTTACTGTTCTGCTCCGAACTGGGCTAATGAAGACGGGCATACGTCATACAGTGTGCTATGAGGGAAATTTTGCCTGGACAGCAGCACTACGGCCTACTCTTATAACTGTCGAGGGATCTTTTACAAGCATACCAATGTGTACACGGGACCTCGTTTTTTCGTACCTTCAGAAAGACTAGACAGCTGTCCTTGTCAGGCTCTCATTCCTGTATCACTGACTAGGAACCACGCCAGAAAATCTGGATGAACTTTTTCTGCCAGTGCAGGGATCGAACACCCGGCCAATGCATTCTCTACAGAAGATACCAGCCGATGTCAGGCAAGATACGCCAACATTTTCGAGAAATGGATAGAGAACAAGCTAAAAAGAAAGTGATTTTTCCTACAATCAAGGGCCATAATTCAGGAAACAAGCCAACAGTGAGGCTGATGTCCCCCGCCGAAATTGCAAAATAAATAGATGACACATATTAATTAATCGCACATTTATTTTTTTCACTAAGTTTCATCACTCTCTATCAGATAGAATCAAGATTATCTTGTCCCAAACCATCGACAAATGAAATCGATTAGCTCTGCTTAGCTTCAGCTCGAAATGTTAATTATTGAACTCAGTCAAGACATTCTCCTAATGAACATCTACATATACATCAAGTTTAAACATTCACCTAATAGACACCTATGCCAAGTTTGAACATTCTACCTCAATTAGAAGGAGAGTTATTGTGTTCCAAAGTTTCTACCAATCAAATTGCTTATCACTCTGCTTACCCTCAGCAAAAAATGTTCATTATCGAACTTAGTTAAGGTATTCATATAATAAATCTATACACCAAGTTTCATCAATCTCACTTAATTAGAACTAAAGTTATCGTGTCCCAAAGCATCAACCAATCAAATTGCTTATCTCTGCTTACCCTAAGCGGAAAATGCTCATCTTCGAACTCCATCAAGGCATTGACCTAATCAACACATACACCAAGTTTGAACATTCTAGCCCAATTAGGAAGAGAGTTATCGTGTCCCAAAGCATCAACCAATCAAATTGCTTATCTCTGCTTACCCTAAGCGGAAAATGCTCATCTTCGAACTCCATCAAGGCATTGACCTAATCAACACATACACCAAGTTTGAACATTCTAGCTCAATTAGGAAGAGAGTTATCGTGCCCCAAAGTATCAACCAATCAAATTGCTTATCTCTGCTTACCCTAAGCGGAAAATGCTCATCTTCGAACTCCATCAAGGCATTGACCTAATAAACACATACACCAAGTTTGAACATTCTAGCTCAATTAAAAGTTATCGTGTCCCAAAGCATCAACCAATCAAATTGCTTATCTCTGCTTACCCTAAGCGGAAAATGCTCATCTTCGAACTCCATCAAGGCATTGACCTAATCAACACATACACCAAGTTTGAACATTCTAGCCCAATTAGGAAGAGAGTTATCGTGTCCCAAAGCATCAACCAATCAAATTGCTTATCTCTGCTTACCCTAAGCGGAAAATGCTCATCTTCGAACTCCATCAAGGCATTGACCTAATAAACACATACACCAAGTTTGAACATTCTAGCTCAATTAGGAAGAGAGTTATTGTGTCCCAAAAAGTGTGACGGACAGACAGACGGACGGACGGACAGACGGACAGACAGACAGACGGACGAACCCATTTTAATAGTCCCCTGCTTTCTTTGAAAGGCGGGGGACAATTACAATTCGATATGTGCAAATATCCAAAGGAACCAAGATCTTTGGGTTATAAACTTACATTTCAAGTTTCAACAAAATCGGATAAAAATTGTGACCTCTATAGGGTCCACAACCTTGATATACCATATTTTTACACTATTTGAGAACAGGGGCGGCCATTTTGCCTGTCAGTTTTGGGCTGATTTTTACAAAATTCGAACTCAGCCGACCATAATTCAGCAAATTACAATTCGATATGCGCAAATATCGAAAAGAACCGAGATCTTTGTGTTATAAACTTACATTTCAAGTTTCATCAAAATAGGATTAAAATTGTGACCTCTATAGGGTCCACAACCTTGATATACCATATTTTTACGCTATTTGAGAAGGGCGGCCTATTTTGTCTGTCAGTTTTGGGCCGATTTTCACGAAATTCGAACTCTGTTATCCTTAGGGTGTAACTGTGATATATGAAAACGTTTTTTTAAATCCGATAAAAATTATGACCTCTATAGGGTCCACAAGCCAAAAAACGTGATTTTTCGTACAATCAGGGCCCATAATTCAGGAAGTTACGGTCCGATATGCGCGAATATCGACAGGAACCGAGATCTTTGGGTTATAAACTTACATTTCAAGTTTCATCAAAATAGGATTAAAATTGTGACCTCTATAGGGTCCACAACCTTGATATACCATATTTTTACGCTATTTGAGAACGAAGGGCGGCCATTTTGTCTGTCAGTTTTGGACCGATTTTCACGAAATTCGAACTCAGCCATCCTTAGGGTGTAACAGTGATATATAGTAATACGTTTTTTTTTAAATCAGATAAAAACTATGACCTCTAAAGGGTCAACAAGCTAAAAACGCGATTTTGCGTACAATCAGGGGCCATAATTCAGGAAGTTACAATCTGATATGCGCGAATATCGAAAGGAATCGAGATCTTTGGGTTATAAACCTTAGGGTGTAACGGTGACATAACAATACGTTTTTCTAAATCGGATAAAAATTATGACCTCTGTAGGGTCCACAAGCTAAAAACATGGTTTTTCGTACAATCAGGGGCCATAATTCAGGAAGTTACGGTCCGATATGTCCGAATATCGAAAGGAACCGAGATCTTTGGGTTATAAACTTACATTTCAAGTCTCAACAAAATCGGATAAAAATTGTGACCTCTTTCGGGTCCACAAGCTAAAAACGTGATTTTTCGTACAAACAGGGGCCATAATCCATGAAGTTTCGATCCGATACATGCCAATATCGAGAGCAGCCAAGATCTTTTGGAGATAAACCTATATTTCAAGTTTCGTCAAAATCGGATAAGAATTGTGACCTGTAGAGTGTCCACAAACAAATTGTGGACGGACGGATGGACGGGGGCGACGACAATATACATTGGTGGCATTCTCTACAGACTATGTAACAGGATATAGTCAAAACATCGCACAATGTAACAGAATATGGTCAAAACATTAGTGGCATTCACTACAGATGATATAACAGGGTATGATCAAAACAAGTCAGCCAGTACATACGATAAAATCTTTTAATGGGTCTCTTGTTAATCTGACTAAATCCAATTATCTTCTGAATTTAAGTACATTAATTTAACCTGAATGAAACATTCAAAAATTATATAGTGTTCAAAAAATGCAAATTTTAAAATTACTCACTGGAACTAACAGTGCTATCAACATGAAATTTTCCAGAATTGTTCAGATTGTTTATCGGTTACCATAGAAACAGGGAATTTCATATTCATACTTACAAATTATTAAAGGTGCGTCACTTTAAAATTTGAGTAGTGCCTCCACTATTTATTTGCTGTAATCCATTAATAATTTCATTAAAAAAACATTCAGGTTTGACACACAAATATATATATATTTACAAATTCGAATAGTGCCTCCACTATTTATTTTCCGTAATCAGTTAATAATTTCATTAAAAATCTTTCAGGTTTGACATATACAATGTATATATATATATATAATTACAAATCACAATAACATTATTGAGCACATATTGACATGAATTGACTACATTTCTTGCTATGTGTTATTGAATTTTAGTAGCAAGTAGAACTGCAAGTAGTAGCTCAATGATTGTACCCTAAACAAATAAGGATGAGTTTAAACTGTAGTCTACAACTTTTAAATATACATTATGCAAGAGCTAAATCTGCCAATTGCAGGTCTTTCTTTAAGCCTGAAATGTTATCTAAATTATTAATTAGGTATTAATTAAGTCATCCAGACCATAATCAACTCCCAATGTCATTGCCAGCCCACGATATTTATTGGATTAGGACCCGATCTGCTGCTCTATGCTAATTCATGATTAAATCAAGAAATGGATAATTGAGACTATGTATTTTATCGTACCGACTTCAGTAATGATGATCGAGGCTAGGCCCAAAATTCAATCGTTAAATTCTCAGTTCAGAATGGATCAATTTGACAAAAATTTTCACCAAATTCCCTTAACATTATATAGTTTTTAACTATTACAGTGAGAACTGCCAACTCTTTATCTAATCTCCCATAATGTATCTGTAACTGATCACTGTACATATTTAATTGTCACCCAAGGTAAAAAAAAATATTGATAAACAAACATCACATGACTTGTTGTTTTTAAATTCAAGCAAATTTGTAATTCAAGGTAGGCCTACACAGCAGTATGCCAAGCACCCTTTTGCAAAAAAAAATCATGAGATTGTCGTGTCAGTCGTCAACATCCTGCGCCATTTTATAGAATAAACCAAGTCAAATCCCTCTCCATGGAAACACAAAATGAGAAGTCTCTAAACAGCAAAAGACACAACTACTAAGAAAATTTTATGAGATATGGTTTACGAAATGTGCTTTAAAAACAAAACAAGGATGGACCAATGGTGTCCTCCCTTAATTTCATTCGGCTCTGGATAATGTAGTACAAATGTATTTGGTTAAAAAGAAAGTCATATTCACATACAAAATCAAATTGAAATATCCATTTCTAATCCTTTAAGTAACGCATTCAAAATATATATACAAGTAAATTTGTTTGGAGAGAGAGAAATTGCGTTTAACATCCACTCGACATCACCTAGGTAATTTCGAGACTAGTATATGGTTTGATTTTATTTCAGTAAGTTTCTCTGATTGCAAAAATGAATGTAAATTCAAAGGTATTTATGTGTAACAAAGTCCACAAAACAGAAATAAAATATATTGGGTGGCCCAGAAGAAACAAGTACATTAACTTGGAATAATTAAAAAATAATTGTACTTATGTCATTAATATACCTCAAATGGTACAATATGAATGTTTGACAATTACACTCTAAATTTCAGGTTCATCGCTCAAATAGTGTCAACAAAGTACTAGTTTAAAGAAGAATGTCAAGTTATCTTTTGCCCAAATGAGAAGTCACACGTGCAGTTTACATTAACAAATGGTGATTATGTTCCCCATCTTGCACTAAGCCTCGTTTCCATGCAGAAATCAAATTTCATATTTCTTCTCATATTCCTGAAGCAATCGCCCGAGAAATCCCTCTCTGACCATTGCTGGATCGACTTCTGATACTTGAGCTTTTGAGAGAGTGTGTCTATTCTTCCCGTTAAATCAAATCTATCCCAAGTACAGCAACATGACAGCCCTTTGTTTAATCTGGGGTCCTCCCTAAAACTTCTGCTAAAATCGTAAGTCATGACGTAACGTTATGTAAAAATATTTGGTCCAATTTCGAGCTCTATTTAAAGCCTAATGATATTGCTACGCAGTTAGCTATTGGTTGGTAATCAGACTATTGACCAGTCATAATTTGGAACAGAAATTTGCTTCCATTTAAGCAATGTTAAGTGTGATTAAGTCTAATCAAACGAAACACTGCGAGGAGTATGATCTCTTCTAAGCTTATTTCTACCAATTTTGCCTGAACTGTATCCTTTAGTTAATTTTCAATAAATTTTCTGAATCATCCTTCCATAAACCTTTCTCAGGAGACTGTTCCAGACGGCATAATCCATCGGATTCAGGTTCTGGGACTGTGGTGGCCTCTGATCTATATTTATAAAAAATCTGCAAAATGGACAGAAATTAGCTTAGAAGAAATTATGACATTTTATTTATGCATGGAGAAGACGCTTAGTGCAAGATGGGGGACATATTTGGTAGTGGATTTCGATTTGTCATAACTTTTGGCGGGGATGGACGAACCCTGGAACCTGGAACATTTCATTACATTTTGTCCCCCCCACCTTCCGATTCATAAACTGCACATGTGACTTCTCATTTGGGCAAAAGATAATTTGAAATTCTTTTTTAAACTCGTACTATGTTAACGCTATTTGACCTGCAATTTGACATGAAGTTGTCAAACATCCATACTGTACAACATGTGAATTTATTGAGTTATTCCACTGTAAATAATGTACATGTTTTTTCAGGGTCACCTGAATATGAGGAGATACAAAATATGAATATGAGGAGATGCTCAAAATCAGGATATAAATTCCTTGATAATGACTAGGGAAGCCTAGTCTAAACCTCGCTCATTAATAAGCAGTTATTGTATTCCATAGAATTGTGAAATGTGTACTCCATTTCAATTACTGAATGCCATGGAAACAATTTACTGGTAGTTGCTGTCCTAATGGACCCTAGACCTGAAATAACTCAATGTAAGGGAGAAGAGTACTTATTGATCTGGATTATATACAAATGAATAACCAAAGAGTTTAATAATACAAAAATATACAAGTAAGTATGCTGTGACACATGATTGTTGTAAAATGAACATAAAAATCTTAACAATAAAAAAGCACATCAAGGGACAGAACTCTCACCCTGATTGAATTCATGTGATTTTATATTTATAAACAGTGCAACACTAGCTGCCCAATAAAATCAAATCAATCCAAAATGTCAGATTCATAGCCCTTTCCAACAACATAAAAAAAAGAGTATAAACAAGCCTGGAAATAAGGCATCCTTCACAAACAAAGTCAGGCACAGATTCAGGCTTTGTCAGGCACAAAACCTCTGGTGCCTGTCATTTTATCTGGCACTGATTTGTCTTTTTTATTGATATTATTAATACATGTTGAAAATGTCAGGTACTATTTTATTAGTATCTGACATTTTGTCAGGTAGCCTAAATCTAAAACCGTTATTTCCAGGCCTGAGTATAAGTCACTAAGTGCCATAATTAATCCCAATATTGAAATATAAAGGAAGAAAGAACAGAACTAAATCTCTTATTACAGATGAGCCCATTGATGACGTTGATTCTGGTGTTATGGAAAGAGTAAGCATACCCTGTCTCATACATGAAACCTATCACAACTTGTAGCCACAAGGACAAAAATGGCCAGAGCATACTTGTCAACATTATCCTTTAAGATACTGGGGCAGAGAATAATGTTTATAATGTTTTAATAATATGGATTAATGCACACAATATTGCACACAATAACAGTCATGCCCATGTATAATAAACCAGTGACTATTGTCCAATATAATGTTTCTAGTTTTGTTTTGTTTAATAACTTCATGTTTTAACAACAGTCAAATGATTATAATCCTTGAGTGGCATTTAGTGATTGATTACATTAAAAAACACAACACAATTTATATGAAATACAATCACTGATTTATACACATATCGCACAACATTCCGACAAGTATTCTCTTGATAACGACAAGAGAATACTTGTCGGAACATTGTGCTATTTGTGTATAAACCAGTGATTGTATTCCATATAAATTTTGTTGTGTTTTTTTAGTCAAATGATTGTTAGTTTTGTGAAAATTGATTATGTTCCAATATAACCACATTCAGAATATCATAGTTACTGACTGGGGTTAAATTTGAAAAATTAGCTGAGGATGACCCCATAACATGATACATCTTTTGATCAGAAACTTCTGTTTGATAGGCAACTGTTGGTATATTACAAGCGGTCTCATCCCAATTAGTTTTTATGTCGTAAGAGTTGGATTCAGACCAAGAATGTGGAGCTTTCTGTGTCCTCTCTGACGATGTCTCAGTTTGCTCAGCAGGACTAGATAAAGCAGCTGACAATTTTTCTCTCACACGGGCTGGGATGATCTGCATCTCAACGGTTTTGGGATGCCGAGTTCCATGCCGTTCTTTTGATGGAAGAATTTGCATGCCCTCAATTGGTTTTGATGGATCTTCTGCTCTTTTATAAAGACCTGAATATTCTGCCAATTTATCCAAACCATCCAACGCCACAGATTCAGGATGAGCTGTGATTAAATGAGCTCGGAATTCCTTGGTCGAGTTGGTACCATATTTACAGAATGTGCAGGGATAGATTGGCATACCTTCGTGTTTCTTTGTTTTAGTAATATGTTTACGTATGTTCTCATGGGTGTTGCATGTGTAAGAACAGTATGGACACTGGAAGGGTTTGGCACCAATATGAATTCTCATGTGTCTTTTCAGATGGGTTCTGTTGCCGGCCTTATATGTACAGTAATCACAATGGAATTCCCGTTCACCAGTATGTGTCTTTGTGTGGCGCTGAAGTCGGGATTTTGTCGCAGCAGCAAAGCCACATGAGTCGCACAAATACTTCTTTTCCCCAGTATGCGTCAACATATGCATACTAAGCTCATTTCGTAATACAAAGCTCCATGTGCATGATTTGATAGGACATTTATGAACGCGCTCCCCATGTCTCTTCATATGATGTGTTAGCTGTTTTAAAAGGGGGAATGTCTGACCACAGAAAGAACAGATATGACTCTCCTGGCTCTTATGAAGTTCCATGTGTACTTTATAAGAGTTGAAACGCTTAAATTCACGGTTACAGATATTACAAGTATTCTCCGTTAAACCAACATGAACCATCAAATGTCTCCTTAGAGACAGGCGACCAATAAATCCACGGTTGCACAGATTACAAATGAATGGTTTCTCGTTGGTGTGCAGACGAAGATGTTCAACAATCCGTTCATGTTGGACAAATTTTCCACATTCTGGACACGAGACAGAGGCATCCAATGGCAAGTTGATGATCTGATTTAAGTGCTCGCCATACATTGTATTAACTTTTGTTTCTTCTTTTTGAAGTTTTTGAAGCGCTTCTTCAGAAGAGACATGATTATGTATAAACTCAATGTGTAAATTCATCCATTTCTGATCAGAAAATTTCTTCAAGCATTTAGGACACTCAAAGACCTCCTCTGACGTGCCTTCTGAATTTGGTTCACTGGAGAGACCCAGGTTCATCTGATGTGTTTTGCCGGAACAGTGAACTCGGTATGCTTTAACAGATAGAAATATAACGTCGCACATTTTACATACTGTCACTTCATCTTTGTGTTCTTTTAAGCAATGAACACGCAAATCTTCATACTTATCTCCCTTGAATTCACATTTTTCACAGCGATTTTGACGTTTGGACCTTGGCTCTGTTTTTGTGACACAAATATCTGTTTCTTCGGACCAGGACACAAAAACTTTATCTCCACTGCCAATTAGTTTAGCTTTGCGTTGATGAAGTAGAGTTTTTAAATGTTTCTCATATGAATATTTTTCAACAAATTTCTTTTTGCATGGATCACAACTATAAGGTCTCTCTGTCGTGTGAATTCTTTTAATGTGGACATTGAGAGCCGATAAATATGGTGCAACATAACTACACTGAGGACATACTGGACGATTACCTCCCTTGGTTCTTCTCAACGGTGTTGTCATTTTCCCATCTTTATGACGTACATCAATGTGTTTTTTCAGGCGATTGACACTTGCTTGCTTAGCTCCGCAATATTTACAATGTAAGTCCACGACATCTTTAATTACACAGATTTTCGAGTTCTGAGCACTTTGAATTGCTTTCAGATGCTTCGAACTTTCAACATGGAATTTCAATTGCTGCGAATTCTCAAAGGCGGTGCTGCATAAAAGGCACATCAATTCTCCAATACATTCATCACATTTTTCTCGATGTTCTTCTGTTGCCATGTGGTTAATAAGATCCGAATGTCGATTAAAATAAAACTGACAGATACCACATTGAAATGCAGAGAGTTTAATAACATAATTTTCGTAGTTAAGAATCATATTCAACTCATCGGGATGGTTAATAGCACGATTTTTATGAAATCGGGTCATTAAATGTTGAACTATTTCGTATTTTCGTTTGAACTTTTTATCACAAACTGTACAGATGTGTGGGCTTTGTAGTTTGATAGAATTTGTTTCTTGTATTTTCTCCATCTCTTCTTTGTCTTTGGAAACGTTCTCTTTGGATTCTGTGGTTGGCTTGACTGATTTTTTGTCTTCATCTTTGGTTACAGAGCTATCCTTTTCCATTTCAGAAATAATTATTGTGTTTGTGGATGTTTCTACATCCATTTGCTCATCCTGTTCATCTGGAATGGCTGAATCTATCTCTATAGTATGATCACCCATGTCTTCGTTTTCTTCTTGGGCCCGTTTGAGAGCTGCAGCATTTTCCTTGTGGGAGCGTGACCCAAAATGTGCAGAATACTTGACGCCCTTGTCAAATGTTATATCACACGCTTCACATTTGTAAGTTTTATTGACAGTCTGAGATGTCAATTTCTTTTTCTTGTCATCTTTGTTGGTTTTAGCCAGCATACCAGGTTTCCATTTACCACCCGGCATTTTCTTACCACTACTTCTACGTGATCTCGTACCAGGGTATTCACCAGGCTTCCATTTACCACCGGTATGAGATCTGGGTGGATGACGTATGCTGGATTCTTCCCAATCAGAATCATCCAAATCATCACCAGATGGAAAATTTGTCAAATCTTCATCACTACTGAAATCTAAGTTGTTCAAAAAATTGGTTATGGACAGGCTTTCTAAGTTACTGTATAGATTCTTGCTGTCAATATTATTTCCGGATGACTTCATTTTACGGGGAGATTTTCTGCTCTGTAGTTCTAGCGACCGGAAGAAAGCATCTGTCGATGGAGATGTCACTGAGTTGGTTTCAAGAGATTGGGATGTTACTTGATTGAAATCTTCATTTATAAATTTGTTCAACTGATTTATATCTAAAGAAATATCAGCATCAGACGTAGGTACAGCATGATCAGACATATTGGAATTAGGTGTAGACGTTGTCAGTCCAGAGCTGGTCACATCTAGATTAGAACAACCAGCTTCGTGAGATAAATTAGAAAGAAGAGAATATGGTTCACTAACATGTACCTGCAAGTTTTCTAAAACAATATCAGAAATTGGTTCGTCGTTAGGTCTTGGTAATTTGGAGTCTTTTTCAGTTAATTGTTGTAAATCTATAGTTACATCAGGAATGCATGACATAAGAGGCAACTTGTCTTTATTTGATTCGTCATTTTCTGGTAAGGTTTCAAATGTGCTGGAGTTGCTTGGGGTAGAAATATTGTAATTGGAGTTGTTGACTGGTTTCTGGTTCTTCTTGACACATTTAGTCTGCTTGTGGGCAACATAATTCATCAAACCAACTATCCTTTCTTCACAAACCAAACACAGATGAGTGTCACTATCTTCCATTTCTACAAAGAAACAATGTAATTCATTAAAACTTCGAGTGAGTGACGGCTTTTCATACAGTCAGGGAATTGTATTTCAAATACTTCAATTGAAAATTAAATGAACTAGCCATATATTCGTAGGTCTCAAAATTGTGCATCTTCAGTTAAACCTGTATTACAGACCAAACCTAGTTATATCCAAAATCTTAACACATGCACAACAGATATATAATAGGACAATATTAAGGAGGTCCAGAGCTTTATAGAAAATTGAATCAAGTAAAATATTTCATGTAAACCTGACAAAGTCTAATTTCAGGCAGCATTATTTAGTAAACCTATTAGAAAAGAAAAGTGGGGCAAAACTTTAAAGCTGTCTTCCAAGTGCATATTTAGTATTGATGCAATATATTACTGTCCAATAAATGAAGTTTAGGACATACATTGTAAATACATCAGAAGCTCAAAATAAATGTAAAATTTGAAAGCAATGTTATTATTAAGAAATTCATAAAAAAAAAGACACAGAAGTGTCAAAACTCCTTACTGGATGCTAAATGGAGTTATTTCCCTTATTATGCTGACTTGAGTTTTATACCAGTTCCATCAAGGCTCTAATTCTTGTTGAATAACATTGGTGCCATTATAAGAAATCTGGTAATAAAAAAATCAAATAATATATAATAACTAAACGATAAGTCCTCTAAGTTTTGGGGGTAAATAAATATTACTTATTTAATTCAATATGATGCAGGTGCCTCTCTAAGTAAAGTGCTGGCTGGTACTTGCCAGCAGGCTCAGGATTTAATGATAATTTATTTCAACTATCATCAGTTTAATTAACGCAAAAAAATCCCAAAATTTAATTGCAAGTCCATGGCGACTTCTGCTGAAAGGAAAATTAAATATACTCTGAATGATAATGTCATGTGCAGTTATTGTGTTTGAATTGGTGTGTAAATAGATTTATTTAATGTCAGCTATCGCTGTAGTGATATCACAGACAATAACAGAAACTGATCAAAATCATAAACCTTTTGTATCAGCGACAGCGCAATGTTTCCAACATTTCCTGGCACAGGATAAGAGCATTTTATTGGTGAAAATCTTATCAGACGAACACTGAAATCTAAACTATTAAATTACTAAACGTAACAGGCTGTGGGTTACTGTGTGTCTGTAATAAGTTGATCTTGATTGTGTCAAGCCAGTTAATACTGCTATGCGTATTGTCATTGACACTTGACCAGTATGTAGTCAGAGTGTTGCACCAATTTGGCAAAGGAAATACTTGCCAAAGACATGAACACCAATAGATTTGTGTTTGTCTTTACCTCTACAACAGCCTTTACCAGCCTTTGAACTAATAATATTGCAATAAATAATAATTTGGGCCTATATTTCATTTATTTAAATGATGAATCTCAATCTGTGAGCTTAAAGTTAAAGAATTCTATAATGGCATGCCTTAAAATACCTCAAATGTGACAATGGGGAATAATGGATAATTTCTGTGTTTTTTTTTTTTAACTTGTTAAAAGTGAAAGTAATATGACGTTCTTGAGCCTAAGATAATCAATGACATGTCGAACGTGCTTAGTAGGTCAAACTTCAACTCGGCAATACACGCGTCGCCATTTTGATTTCTTATGTTATGATGGTGGTTCCGTACACAACTGGCGTGTTTCTTCTAAAATCAGTATTAGCAAATAGCATGATTAGTAGGTAAATATATCATTTTGAAATTATAGACTATTTTAATACTGTTGTAAGAAGCCATGGAAAATCTTACCGCTTACAAAATCTATAATGCACAGGGCTAAAATTCTGATAAATCTACCTACCGTAGTTTATAACGGAAACAGGTGCCCGTTTCTGCGCATGCGTGTACAGCTTTTGTCCTGAGATAACCTTTGCTGGAATGAAATCCGGGTTATGGTGGAGGTAGAGGTGGGAAGCATCTGGTCGCGCGAGACAAACGTGCGCTTCTTTCAAATGTTCACTCAAAACAGATCTAATGAAATCCACTGACAGAAGGGAGTAAAGATGACAAGAAGAAAACAGAACTATCCGAAACGGCTCAACTGTAAGTAGTGTTTGTGTTTTTATCTTGAAGCGTCGTGCGTCGTCTGCTAGGCTATAGAAGCGAAGCATTATGAGCGCTGAGTGTCAAAAGCTGTCAGTCAGATCGCTCAGTGTTTGTCAACACATACCGCATTGATTTACCTTGAATGGATTACGTTACATTAATGATGGAAAACTTTAGCTTTAAATGCTGCTTTATTATAGACCTCGGTAGTTGGGTATATGCGTGTCTGTCTAGTTTATCGAGTGGTAAGGAATCGAACTGGTTGTTAGTCTGGCATTGAGGGCTTTGAGAAGTAGCAGAGAGACATCTGCTATTTATTTTTGGCGCATCAATCAAGTCGTTCATAGCTGAATGTCAATCACTTGTCAGCCAGTCTTTACGGCGCCATGCGATCAATTGGACCGACCATCAATCATTCCAAGCTTTTATTGTAAATGTATTTGTTCAACACTACAAACAAAGAAGTGTGTCTCCGTTTTGACAGGTAGTGAGGATATATTAGGCAAGTCTTGCATGGCTTAATATGATAGCCTAGTCTCTATCTATATATCTTTTACAAGTAGTAACATTTATCCAACAACTGTAACTCTCCATTTATTCCCACAGACTTAATAAACAAAACGCCCGCAAAAAAATTATAATGTTTTCTTTTTCTTTGCAATGGGGATAATAGTGACCTTACAGTATTCAAGGTAGGATGATGTCAGAATTGTTAGAAAAGCTTTCAGATGTGAATTTATGTTGTTGGGTAATAAGAGAGCTATAATTGCCTTGTGATTGATGATTTCTGTTATCAGCCAATAGACAACACAAATAACGTCATTTATTTTTCATACTTGTCAGACTGAGAAGCCATAAATAATACTTAATGAAGAAAATTCTCTGGCAGTTAAGAGTATGGGTTTTTATTTATTTTTTTTTTTTTATCGGGACTGCAACAGAATACCTTAAATGGATATATTCTTATTAATACAAATATTTTTATCATATCACAGTCAATTTATCTTGTTTGATGAATTTTTTATTCAGTGATCTTATCACAGATTTTTATTGATATAGCATTATGGATACATCGAAAATCATGTCAAAATAACAATATTGTGTATTCATTTAGTTATAACAAATTTGAGTAAAATGATATTCTCTAATTCAGGGGACTAATAATTCAAGATTATGGTTATAGTTTTCAAGGTTTCACAATTTTGGGAACTTGATAATTTATCTACAGCAAAAAATAAGCATTAGGAGATAAACATTGGAGACGGGTCGATTTTGGATGACTATAGAGGCCTCTGTACAAATCTTTTCTTGTTTCTGTTCCCAATGGAACACGCTGTGTTCACAGATTTTCATCGGTTATGGTCCAAAAAGATACTTTTTTCCACATGAGATAAGGGTGGGGATGGCCGAATGGTTAGCATGTGCACGCTGTATCTTAAAGTCTGTTATTGAGTCAACTGGCGGGGTTTTGATTCCCCTGTTGTATGTGACAAGGAGTAGGGTCGCCTGCCCAACCTCGTGGGTTTTCTTTGGGTCCCCTGGTTTCTTCCCACTGCTAAAGAGCCCTACACGAAATGAATTATTGAAATAAAATTGAACCATGTGTTTGTCCTGAAATGACCTAGTTTGTGTTGAGTGGACGTTAAACCCCATTTCTCTCTCTCTACACATGAGATACCACTGCTCTTTAATTCCGAGTCCAGGTTTCTTTTCTAGGTTATCATTGGATGTCCACAGGTAATGCTTGAATCCAGGTGGTGTAAGGTATGTCCTATCTATCACCACTGACCATTCTTTAATTGATTTACCCATTGTTTTTTGGGGGGTTTGTTCTTTCCCACAGTTCCTGGTTTGAAATGCTACATGGCCATCTTATATGCTTGACACTTTATAGTGTTTATGTGTAGTATGCACTTTCTGCCATAGGTTGGCATCCATGTCCCATAATGGTATACAGACTTAGAGACTGAGTTGAATAACTGGGTCTTCAGTTAAATGTTACATTATTTCAAAGAAGGATTGGGTAGTCCAGTGGAATAATGAGTGCACTGTAGATCATAGAGTCTGTTATTGAGTCAAATGGGATTGTTTCGGTCCCAGGCTTGTGCGTGACAAGGTGAATGGATTGTCTACTAAAGACACCTACAAACAAGTGAATTATTGAAATAAAATTGTACCATATGTTAGTCCTGAAATGACTGAGTTTTTGTTGAGTGGGTGTTAACCTGCATTTATCTCTTTCTGGTTCTAAAATATGGTGAATAGAAATCCTTGATTGACCATGGGATAAGTGAACATGTCCACTTCTAAAATGCTTCCAATTTAGCATTCATATACAGAATATTGGTTTATATCTAGATCTGTGTTCAGGATTTATCTCTGTAATTCCATGTTCACTAGTCTATATAAAAAAACATTAATTTTATGAGCCATATGAATTTAGTCTGAACTGCAAATTGGAATAAGAATTTTTAAATGTGATTATAATAAAGAGTAGACCACATAATTGTCATATAACTGGGGAGGGGCCTCTTTCTACACAGTATGTAAAATTCCATGACTTACATGTTATTTTAATGCATTACAAGAGTAATTCAAAAGAAAAAAGTTACTTTGGTGGTTCAGATATCACTGTCAATGAACCAGAAATCTGTAGAAGCTGTGATAATTTGTCTACAACATCATATCTGTTGAAGTGGATGATAAACCCCCTCAATCGCAGTTGCTTGGACTTCAGGAAGATCTTGAGTATGGAAAAAATACAGTCAGTCCTATGATAAGTCAATAGAAAGAAAAAAAAAACAACATTAATAAGTACATACTTTTTAGATGGGTAAAACAGATCTCTTTAGAAAAGAATTATATTGGTAAAAATGCATTGCCTCATCTTTGTTGTATAGTTTTATTTACTGATATATAGAATGATATTCATGAATATTTTTGGTGAAATAGAATACTTGTTGTTGAAATTAAACCATTGGTGGAATTTGTCCAAGATTAAACCCTATCTGGTAATAGCACAATAATAGAAATTATACATAAATCATATCTCTTTGAATCATTTGCATTTTTTGGAAAATATTAAAATACACTCAGATTGATTATCTAAGCATTAAAGATACATTATGGTAGATTAGATAAGAAGCTGGCAATTCTCACTATAATAGTTAAAAACTAGATAATGTAAAGGGAATTTGCTAAAAATTTCAGTCAAATTTATCCACTCTGAACCGATAATTTAGCGTTTTAATTTTTGACCTAGTTATCATTACTAAAGTCGGTACGATAAAAAAACATAGTCTTGATTATCAATTTCATGATTTAATCATGAATGAAAGTTGAGCAGCATATCGCATCCTAATCCAGTATATATTGCAGGCTAGTGATGACATCGAGAGTTGATTATGGTCTGGATAAGTTAATGTCTAATGAATAATTTAGGCCTACAGAAAGACCTGCAATAAGCAGATTTAGCTCTTGTATAATCTATGTTTAATTAAGAAAACGAAATCAAAATATCATTTGCATTCAGTCAGATTAAATATATGCCCATCAAAAGATGACTATATAATATACCAGTAATATTGTCTGACATATATGTCAACAAATTTTTAATTCATCATATCTTGAACAAATTTTCAATTCATCATATCTTAGACAAATTTTCAATTCATCATGTCTTAGACAAATTTTCATTTCATCATTTTTGGACTGATATTCATTTTAGAGATTCAATTTTCAGGTTATTGTAGTTTGTGACAATCCCTCAATTGATGACCAGATTACAGCTCGAATTGTGTGTGAAATAGCTTTACTTAACCTCCGCTTCCATCGAAGTGATATCGCAGACAAGCTCACAGTAAATGTATCTTGTGAGCTTATCTCACAGTAAATGTATATTTAATTTGCACTTTGTATTATAATACACAAGGTTTTTAATTGTTTATTCTAAAGATCAATATGCATGTCAATGATTGGTCTGCTGGGTAAAGCACACAGTAAATATACTTTATAACATTCATTATACAATGTTTAAAAGTGTTTATTATAAAGATCAATATACATCAGTGATTTGTGTAATGTGTATTTCTCAATAACCCACAGTAAATATACTCATAAGGTATACTTGATTACATATGATTTTTAGAAGTGTTTATTATAAAGATCTATATACATCTAATTGTCTAATGTGTATTTCTCAATAACCCACAGTGAATATACCTATGAGGTATACTTGATACCACACAATGTTTAAAAGCGTTTATTATAAAGATCAATATACATTAATGGTGTGTCTAATGTGTATTTCTCAGTAACCAAGAGTAAATATATATGTAGGGTATCATTTATAATATACAATTTCTAAATGTGTTTATTATAAAGATCAATATATATTTCAATGCTTTATCTGCTATATATTCTTCAGTGACCCAAAGTGTTAAAGTATCTATAAAGGCTAAATTATAGGCCTACAGCATCACTTTGTATCCTCACATTATCACTTCAACAAGTGTTGGAAGTTAACACAACCAACATATTTCAGGGGTTAACAAGGGTAGTCTAATAATGGTAGTCTGTATATCTAAACACTACACAAATTGGGCCCAATGGTAATACATTAAAAGTGACACAAACTGTTAAATTCACTGACATGCATAATTAATAGTAATATAAATTATCATACTGTTAAATGTATTTTGTATATGAAGTGTACACATTGTAATTGTATTTTGTAAAATAATTATTAATGAGGAGAGGATTAATATAAGCCTTTGGCTTGTTTTTGAATACTTACTTTTTGACATGTGCATTTAACAGGAGTCTTATCTGAATAAAATGCCAGTCCAAAAACAGCTTTGAAATATATTGATTTACAAGCAAAAAGATATAGTGCACATCCTTGTAGTAGGTGCAGGAGATAATCCAACAAACATAATCCAACAAACAGAATCCCTGCAGATAACACACAGAAATATCATAAGTAATAAATAATAAAA